GCCATTCACTGCAGCCCCCCCCCCCCCCCTTTATGCCAGTTTGACTCAAAGGGGGGGTGTATTTGTACATTCAGACAAAATCTTTAGTGTTTCCCCTCTGTTCCCTACTGTTTCATTCAGCGGCGGCGACTCTGGTGTGCCGGGAAAGTTAGGAAAACGCGCCCATACTCATTCATCCATCTTTAAAAGCCTGTTAGAGCTGTAGGAAATTAAAAACTTCCCTGCACACGACACTTGCGCATTGTGCAGATGTAGTTTAATCTCATTGTGCATTACAATCTGCCTTAAACCTGTTTGAATCTGGATTACAGGCTAGGATAATTACAATAAAGTCACTAATTAGTCATGGACATTAATTAATGTGCTACAGGTCACTCGTCCTATCAGATGAGATTTTAATTAAGATGGTTTTGAATTAAAAGTGGAAATGTGAATTCTTGCTTGCCTTCTTTAGCTTGATTTCCGATTCTTCTACCTTTCTCTTTACGTCAATGTTCTCTTTACCAGGTTACCAAATATAATGAAGGGACCTTCAATTAAAATTTATGGTTCATTTTGCCTCTTGTGTCACTTTATGTTTATCAGTTAATAAATTCACTCTGTGATGAGTGTGAATGCCTTTTTTTATCTTAATGCCCTACAATTAGCATGCTAGTGGATACAATTGTTGAATAGTGCATTATATTTTTGCCACATGCACTAGACACGGTGTCACTTTAATAAAAAATAAAGCTACCTGGAGCTGTAGCCTCATTTTGTAACATTTTGCCTGAGAAATCGCCCCTCAGAGCAGGTTCTGTTTTAATTAGAGTGTGACAGGGTACACTGGGATCCACAGGGGGCTGTGTGATGGACAGGCCAAGCCTCCCCCTGCTGTGGACCCCTCTGTCTGCCCCTCAATCTGACAGCCTCAGAGAGAGGGAGAGAGAGAGGGAGAGAGAGCAAGCAGGAGTGAGGGAGGGGTAGAAGAGGGTGGTTTGGGGAGAATTTTGTCCTGGAATGTTGGCTGCCATGTAACTATAGACATTCCCAAACCTGCATCTTTATCTCTCTGCCTGCTGACGCCTACAACATCTGTCAGCTCTTTGCCTTCCCGTCCCCAGACCCTCAGAAAAGCCCCCTTCTCCAACCCCTTGGTCCCCTTTGTGCTTTCTGCTTCAAAGAGCGACTCAGGGGAACGGCCGTGGGCCCAAAGGTCGAAGCATCTTCATTCGGGTTTTTGTGTAGACTTTGGTGTAGAGGAGCCGCCTTAGTACGGCACTGCCTCAAAAGACAGATGTTATTTTTGCCAATTTCACTCTCCGATTTAATCAAACAATTTGCTTGATCTGTGAGATGTTCTGGAAAGGAAGTGATCGGTAGGCTAAATGTTCACCTTGAGATTGCCTGACTCCACATCCATTTGATTGTCTTTTTCCATCTACCCCAGACATTAAAAATATCTAATTAAATATCATAAAGCTAATGTAATATCTGAAATAAAATGCCTCCGTGTTTTTTTAATGTAAAAAAAATCTCTCACTCTTTACAACAGGGTTACGCTATTATTTTCCCCAAAGTACAAATTTCACCTGCCACACAAAACTGAGGGGTGGGGGGGGATGTCCCCTTCAGTAGATTTCATTGACTGGAGTTTGGGGGGTACCAGAGTCCCCCATTTCCATACTCCTGCATTGCCATACTCATGAAGCTGAGGCATTTTATCACTGAACAGTATTTAATATTTACTTGGCTTTAATGTATTCTGAACATCTAAGAAGTGTTTTTTGTAGTTAATTGTGGCATCACAGCATGCTTACATCGTAAACAGTGAACACATTGCAAAAGTGTGTGTAATTTCTGTGTATTAAAAGTCTGTTACTTGTTGATGTTCCTGCATCTGGTTTGATATATAATACCTGGGTAAACTGATTTCTGCTGGCTGCCCTCTAATGACTCCGCCCTGATCTCTTGCAGTCAGAGGCAGCAAAGGTCCCATGCTAAGTGCCCCCCAGGGAGGCTGTCACGCTGGGTATGTACCCCTCTCATTGCCCCAATGCACATTTTCCACCCATGCTGCATGGTGTGTAGACTTTGAGTTTCATGTTCTAGCAGATCGAATTTTCTGAATTCATCATGGAGCTACACAGTGCTTCATAGGGTTTGTGTCCATGGGTGTGGTCTATGTCTACTCATGTTGCACTGGTTTCCCTGAGTACTCCAGTATCCTCTCACAGTCTAAATATTAGCAGTTAATTGGTTAATTGGTGTCCCTAAGTTCTCATACTATATCACTGTGTGTGTGTGTGTGTGTGTGTGTGTGTGTGTGTGTGNGTTCTCATACTATATCACTGTGTGTGTGTGTGTGTGTGTGTGTGTGTGTGTGTGTGTGTGCGTGCGTGCGTGTGTGTGTGTGTGTGTGTGTGTGTGTGTGTGTGTGTGCGAGCGGGTTTACCTATCCTTATGGGGACACAATGTCCCCATAACGTGATAAATATCTGTTTTTTTTCCCCTTATGGGGACCGGTTTCCTGGACTTCTGCTCTGTAGTTGCTAAGCCTGTGGCCCCTGACCACAGAAGGACGACAGAGTGTCCCCACAAAGGGATCTTCTGTTGCTCCTTGTCTGTACGTGTTCCCAGCCAGCCACTGGAAGCCTCGGTCCTGTATCAACTTGCTGGGAAGCAATGCCATGGAGCCCCGTGCAGGTGAGTGGAAACAGGAGCTGCACTTGTGGGGTTTTTTTTTTCTAAAGTGTTTAAGTGCTGTCTTTGGAGGTGTCCTGTTACTCTGCTCTCCCCCTGACCCTCTGACCCTCCCCAAGCATCAAAGCTAAGCCAATTACTTCCATTACTTTGTGTGCTATTGTGACTGTAATTGTAAGCTTTTGACTTGGGGTGCCCAGTGAGACTTGTTTACCGAACGGCAGGCACTCTTCAAGTTCTTCTCTACCCCCCCCCCCCTTAACCACACAGACACTGGACACAATCTCAAAATCCCCGCCAGGACAATCTCAAACAGATTTCTCCTCTCCAAATCAAACGTTGCATTGGACATATGGATCATTGATTTCTACTTCCAGAACAGCACACGGTAAATCACTTTTTTCAGTTAGATGTAATTTGTACTCGAGAAGGACCTAGAGATGACTGATGAGCTTACAAATAACAATTGTCAGAAGTCTGATGTGCCTGGGCAGAGGAATCGGCATGGAGGCCGTCCACAGCAGCCCCCAGACCCACACGTCATCACACCTCATGGGGCTTCGTCGTCATGTGTCCTAAAAGAGTGACTGATGGGTCAACACCAGGTCCGTGAAGTAACTCCGCAAGCGACTCCGCCATTGGAGACCTGACGGCAGATTGGCGGCACGTAGCCCACCGAGGGGGGGGGGGGGTGAAGACGAGGTGGGGGACTGGAAGAAGGTAATGTGAGGAGAGATTGACGGAGGTCACCCCCCCCCCTTACCCTCAGAGGTCAGAGGCAGGTAAGAGGCAAGCGTCACTGACCCAGGAGTAAATGCCTCTATGCAATCACTGCTGCATCCTCATCAGAGGCGGTCGGCGGGTTGAAACGCAGTTCAGCCGATCCGAGGGCTCTTTCACCGCTGGTCTCCTTTAATCAACGTCTAGGTGTTCGCAATCAAGACTAGACATCAAGATAAGACTAAGACTCTATATTCAGGGGTCATGGCTTATTCCTCACAGTGGAAATGGGGTCCAGGAGAGAATGCCTGTTATGTTTCTACTTTCCTCTTGCTTTTGCTGCACTTGTTCTACTCGATGTACCACAGAACAGAAGCATTTGGAAGGTCATGGTGTCTTAGCCAGATGTCTTCATCTCTGGCATTTATTCATTTATTCTGACATTGCAGAGACCATTCTAAATTCTTTCCTGTAATTTATATATCACTTTCTGTTATGTCATGGTTAAGATAATTTATTAGCTGTTATTTGATGACCATAGCTAGTAGCAGGTTAGTATTGGAGATGGCACTACTTCAGATGATGGTCTTCCTGGCTTTAAGTTGGAGCATATTAAGTATTTTGGAGTTGGTAATTATAAAGATGAACAGCGTTTATGTTTGTTTCCCCTTTGATCCGGTGCGTCCTCTGTAAGCCACGACCGCAGAGAGACCCTTTCAGTTGTCATAGTCGCCGTGGAGCTTGGAGTGTCAGCAAGTCTCCGGACACATGTTTGTGTCCCAAGCTGGTTGCCTTGTCACCAGTCTGCCTGTTCCAGGGAGGGGGGGGGGGGGCACCCCTTGTCTGCCCGGGGGGGGGGGGGGGCCAACGATGAGAGAAAATAGAAAATGGAAAATTCCTGTGTGAAGTGCAGCCGTTGGTGATCAGGTGTGAACTGCAGACTGGAGATCTGAAGAGGGAAGTGGAGGGGGGGCATAGGCAGCTGCCCCCGCCAGCTGGAGCTGCTGCCATTTTGGGAGCCCAGACTCATTTATTGTGATCCAGGCGGCAAACGCGGCGTGGCATAGAATCGTACTCAGTGCCTGTCGCCTGCACCCTTGTCTCTGCAGTAACCCTTTCCTGATCATATAATCCACCATATTCTTCCTCGCTTTGCTGTGATGTCACTGATGTATCTCTTGTCACCTTTAAAAATGACCACTATCCACACTTTGAAATGTATATGCTTTACATACATCCAAGCTACAATTAATTATACAGTCAAGTCACAAGATTAAAATCAGTATATTAGCTGACAGCATTTTGAAATGTGCAGTGTACAGATATGTAACAGTTGTGCACTTTTGTAAAAATCCAGTATGGAAAAGATTAAATCTAATGTTAACCCTTTATCATCTTAAAAAATAACCACCTTGTAAGTATATAAATCTAGCCTTGAACACATGGCTAATAGAGGTTGGATGTCCCACTACAAGTGAAATCCCCCAAAAAAATTTTTTTCCAAATACTTGTCTTAAGGGGGTCACATTTTTAGAATGTTTATTGCTCCCCCCAAAAAAATTAAATAAATAAACTTTATTTTGATGTTGAGGCGTGAAGCTTGTTGTATAGCTGTTAAGTAAATTAAATTAATGATTCTTAAATGATCTGCAAGTCACTGATCTGGGACATATTGCCAGTTTTAAAAAAGGCACTTAATTCCTGCCGTGTTCAAATTCTGTATATAAAGCTCAGTCGGGCTTAATTCAGTAAAACGAGCAGCTTGTTTCTTTTTCACTTAATCCTGATGCCATCCTCTGGCATGCAGCTGAAGTTATGCATCTGAGCCTCGAGACTGTAACACAAAGATTCTTCAGCTGTGTTCGGTGTCTCTCTGAAGGAACCGACTGCTTCACAACGCCAGAGCCCCCAAACCTCCTCCTCTGAGCGTCGCTAATGATGCAGATGCCCCCCAGAAAGTGATACCCCTGCTGTGACCCTGTGTCAAACCCCGCTACATACGCACCCAGTTCAATTGTTCCTCCTTGGCAGTGGGACAGCAGCCAGCTATTTCCACGGATCTCTCACATCTGAGTCACGTTCTTGGTTTTGGCGATCGCGGTTCCCAGCATCTTAGCCTTGTGTCTTAGGGCAATATGAGTTTGTATGCAGCTTACGGGTATTAATTGTGAATCGGCCACTCAAGTTTCAGCCAAATCGGCAAAATCTTTTATTGAATTCTGTGCAAAAAATTGAATTTAAGTTCAAATCATGGGCGGCAAAGTGATTTCACTGTTGGCCCCTTGAGCAAGGTCCTTAACCTCCTATTGTTCCACAGCATGACTGTCTTCTGTTGTCACAAGTAATGCATGTCAGTTTTGGATAAAAGTTCCTGCTAAACAGATCAAATGTAAATATAAAATTTAAGTTTTTACATTGTTATATATTTTTTAGAATTCTTATAATAATTTGACAAATATTACTTAAGTTTTGTTTCCCATATTTTCTTTATTCCTAGCTCCTCTTCTGGCATAAAAAAAATCTTTTGAAAAGGTATTAAATGTAACCCCCCTATTTTTAAAACCATGTTCTAAAATAGGTGACCATGACACATGGAATTATATCTGTGTGTTCAGCATGGAATGGAATTGAACATGCGACTCACAGGATTCCTGTTAAATGCATTTGACCCCAAAGTGCACGCTAACCATTCGCCTGATCACTAACATCATCTTCATTAGTCAGAGCACTAGACTAAGAGTTCCTGACAGGACCAGCTGAGGTCTAACCCCAACCCTGACAGTTGCTGTCATTGCAGTTACGCATTTCTGCTGAGGGACAGAGAAGCAGTTGCGATTGCTTGAAGGATAACACAAATGCAGGGTGTTATTCAAGAAATTCATCATCCATGTTGTTGATGATTTGCTCATAATGGAGGAGGAGTCAGTACTCAGGTAGTGTGTGTGTATGTATCTGTGTGTCTGTCTGTGTCTGTAAATGTGTGTGTGTCTGTGTATCTGTGTGTGTCTGTGTACCTGTGTGTGTGGATTATGTTTATATTAAATTCTGGGGACCATATGTTCCCCACAATGTAATAAAAACCTGTTATTTTGAACTTGTGGGGACCATTTTTCGGGTTAAGGTTACTTATGGATAAGGTTAGGGCTGGGTAGGGTTAAGGTTGTCATACTGGGATTAGATTTGAATAAAGAGTCCCCACAAAGATACAATTACAAACCTGTGTGTATGTGTGTTTGTGTGTGTGCGTGTGTGTTTGTGTTGAAGCCAGGGAGGGGAAAGACATCCTCATCACAGATAAAAGGGGAGGGTAAAGGGAACTAGTTCAAATTTATTGCTTCTGTCAGTTGTGTCAAATGGTCAACTTTTGCAAATGGCTGGATTGTGTGTGGGGGTTGGGTGTCCCCTGTAATAATTACAGGTTTGCCAGTTTTTGACCACATTACTAACTTACTAGCTGTAAGATGGAACTTTACTGTTTCATAAAGGTAAATAAATTACTAAACCTAAGACTGAATTTTTATTCTCTAGGTATCTCTCTAAAATATCAGCATGACCTATAATAATGCTATTTAAATGAAAACAGAGCGATAGCAGTAAACAGTTTGATTAGGAGTTTGGACATTGTACCTGTCTCATGGTGGATTAGGGCAGTGTTTCTCAAACCGGTCCTCGGGAGCCCCAGACGGTGCACATTTTTGCTCTCTCCCAATTCCCTGGGAGTTGGGAGAAAGCAAAGATGTGGACTGTCTGAGGATCCCTGAAGAATCACTGAATTAGGGGACCACCCACTTTTCTCTACTTCTGTGGGGTCATAATGGTGACCAGTTGTTTTTTATGGCTATAGTTTTTACGATGTGTTCGGAGCTGTTTGGGGACCACCACACAACCTCCCTCCCCTTCTTTTTTATTTGTGACCCAGAGCATGGTACTGTGTGGGTTCAAGACCCAAAATGTCAATATCTGCTCCCTGGTAAAATGTAATCTACCACTTCAATGGTCAAAAGGTACAGGTGCAGGCCAACATGTTAAGAGATGTACTAAACTGGAAACAAAAGATGAATCTGCTTATTGTGAACAATATAAATGACTCAGGCTGACATGTTCGTACAGATGGGAATGTTACTGTATATGTTCAGATATTTGATTTTCCATACACTGCAACATGTCAATGAAATAGCTTATGAAAGTGTAACTTTTCACACTTGCTGTCATTTTCATAGCATGTTTGTGAACAAGGTAAGTCCAAAGTATTCCAGTGCTGCCACCTGCTTATTTTAATTTTCTTCTCATATTGATGCTCTGTTTGTTCATCCGGGAGACTAATGACAACAACTCTGACAATGTCTGTCAGACTCCAAATCTTCAGCGTTATTTAATTTCACGTCTACATTTGGCACCAGACTCACGTCCCCCCCACCTGTTAAGCATTTCTGCAGTGTCACCCACTTTTTTATTTCTCTTGAAGCTCTCAGCAGGACTCCGCATATTTCTTTCCATCCCAGAGGAATGCTGGGTACCTTTGGCGCGGATGAAGCAGATACCTGTTAGGAGGGAAGCATCAGGTTGTTTCTCTCACGGTTTCCAAGCCCATAAAGCCGGCCGACGCATGAATAAATAAGATCAGCTTGCATGTCCTTACATCTCACTGACACTTTGTAAACTGGCAATGGTTAGGGGGGGGGGGTGGGGTTCGTGAGACTATATATTATTTTGCCACACATCCCACTCCCAAAATGCCTTGCTGACACTCAAGGCAGCGTCCTACAGCACTGTGAATTCCACAGCCATGATGCCAGCTACTACCAATGCTCCCTAACCCCTTAGCCTCCGACAGATTAGCTGAAGAATGAGCCTCCATAACTGTAGGCTAGTGAGGCATTTCTACATGCACTAGATCACTACCTGTCCTACTGCCTTACTGACGGTTTTTAATCTTCCAAGAAAAAGCACCATGTAAAAAAAGTAAAAAAAAATAATCCCTCATTGCTCCCTCATGAAATGGGCACTGATTTCAGTATTTTCATTTCATATGAATTTCAACTGTCTATCCATGCTAATAGAATCATATTAACAATGTATCAACCCGATTTCTGAAATTTACATGAATAATTAGTGATGGAACAGAATAAATGTCCATCATTGTTTTAAAGGAGTTCGTTTAGGATTGTCAGAAAGTGATACATTGAGCACTTTGATCTTTTTGCCTGTGTGTGAATATACCTATATATATATATATATATATATATATATACCTATATATCCCTCCTTTTTTAAAGTTACGAATTTGCTTTAGTATTACATGTACATGCTAAATTTGCATGTAATATTGAATAAATTGTACACAAGTAAAGGACAAAAAAAAGTCCTCAGACTGACCCTAATGTCTTTATAACCGAAGTGTATTTCTCTGGAAGTGGAAGCGATACAAATGGATGTTCTGAAAGCTCTCCTCAGGTGACACGCATTGCTAAAACGCATTCTCCCCGCTCGGAAGCAAAATGCGCCGTCTGAAGCAGCTTATACGTTATCTTTGACAACTGACTCGCAAGACAGATGGATCAAGGGAAGATGTAAGGACAAGGATTGGCACAATAAAGATGCAGACTCCTGTTACGCCATGTGCTGTATAGGAATGCAGTCTTTATAGCAAAAGCATGGTTTTAATGGTGTAATTACAGAGCAACCTGACTTTTAGAGAGAGAGAAAAAAATTGCTTTTAGGTCCCTTGTAATCTTCGGTTTAACATTTCGTCTTAAAATACATGGCTTGTGTTTTATACTATTACAAAGGAAGTGTTTGCAGTTAGCTGTGAGGAAATGTTTTGCCTCCTCAAATTGCGTTTTTGGATGACAATTGACAATAGACAGCAAAGTATTTTGACGAATATTGTAAGAATACGTCTTTTACTCAAAAGTAATATTAATTTATTAGTTAACTTTACTTCTATCATTCCTTAATGTCCGTCGGACATTCCATTGTAATTTACGTAAAATTGGTGAAAGTGGTGAGATGTCTTTAAGACTTAATTTCATCGTGTATCAGTCATTACTGCCTTTTCGTTGATTAAATGATTCATACTTCTTTTATCCCCAGAATTTTCCATACTATCTACAAATGAGTTGAAAATGAAGGCCACTTTGCCATGTGATTAGGCTATTAACTATTTTTTAAAATGTATAAACTTATTCGTACATGATATATCTATATATCTAAGTGCAATATGTTATTGTGAAAACCAACTCTGCAATTTTACTTGTTAGTTACAGTTATTAGTACTAAAGTTTGACTATCTTGTTGCCGACTGCTTTTTACACGCGATGTTGATTCCACATAATTGAACAAAAGATAAATGCTGTCTGAGCGATAAAAGAACAAGCCATGCTTTATTGATCGTGGCTACCACATCGGCAAATGGTGTGAAGGGAAACTACATTACCAATATATAGGCGGCAATTAAATGGTTTTAAGGGAGTGTGTCACACCTATTGCCGAAAACTTGTAAGCGACGACAAACACTTTAACGACAGTGGTTAATTATAGTCTAAATGCATTTAAAAAGGCAAAGTTAAAAAATCAAGCTTAACAGATAAGTATTTCAGTTGTTTTGTATGTGTGTTATTTATTTAATGCAATATGTTAAATGCCTGAAATTGTATAGGCCTATTTTGAAAAAGATTCAAATTCGAAAGACTTAGAGAGAACAAATACTTTATAACTTAATAATAATATATCAGGAGATATTTTTGTACACTGAGATAATCATATATTATAAGGTTTATTAATAAAAAAAAAGTAAAGCCGAGAGCCCAGTACTGATTGTGGTGGAGTCGAGGTGAAGAATTTGTTGCTCTCATCTAGGCTTTGCTCCCCGACCCTCTGCATTTTCTACTGCCATTTTCTCTCGTGTCCAAATGTTTTCACTGTACTTAAAGATATTATAATTTCATGAAATTATAGTGAATTTGTTGTTTGGAAATTCATATGCAACTGGTTAAAGAATCTTGTGTAAAAGAAAGACGCGCGTTTTCGTCCCACAAATGATAATACCTTCGCCAGAAACGTTCTGCAAACCGATTACTGGTAAAAGGAGCAGGACAACCATATTGCATCTCAATCTTTATAAGCTTTATATATATAGACAGCCTTGTTGCTTCTTTAATTAGTTGTGATTCTTCAAGGTGACATTTCTTTGTTGCCATTGCCCACCCACAATACTAGACCACCGTCTCTACATACATGGGAGGGATCTGTCCTCTCGTCTTTCACCTTTGCATAGTGTGAAGGACCGAGACGTGCGAGGGGCTAGGACCCGTATTAAATTTGGATGTATCGTAGGACCAAGTGACACAGTAAACACTGAGCTGGGAGAGCTGCTCTATCTAACACTGCAGCCCAAGCCGACGCGGCTCTGATAAATTACAATGGTTTTAATATACATAATGACGCTTTCATATCGCAGGTATACCGACTGAATAGCTTTCGAAACGAATGATGGCAGTTGTCGACTTTCTGCTTGGCGATTTTAAATTTAGTCATTCCCGTGTAGTTAGTTTTAAATCAACAGATCTACTGAGATCGGATTAATTTTCATCTGGCACCTACCTTTTTATATATTTTTCTTCTTTTAAGGATCTGTGTGGTCGATCACTTGCAAAATTCTAATTGTGAATGGATTCAAGTTTGCTTATTTGAACGGGAAGTGGACGGGTCAAGTGGGAGCACGAATTGCTCCCGAAGAGGAAGAAATACCGCTGGAATTACAGTTCGCTAATTTGGGATTAAGTTGGCAGTTTCTGAAGAAGTAGAACTAACAACAGTGTGAATGAACAAGAGAATGTATGCAATAAACCAGCGCTGTATTTACATGTAAGAAAACTTACATTTCTGTTACCCGACGGTATTTTTATTAAGTGAACAACTCTTGCGCAAACAGTAATAATTATTTGCTTTGAATTTCACAGATCTTTTCATTTCTTCGTGCTGTGGTGTAATGCTCAGGTAGGTTTTTGCTGAAACCTTTTTTAGTGGTCGCCATGTATGTTTCCTGTCAACAGAAAACATAATTTTAATTTTCAAGAAACATTTTGCCCTTAAGTATATTAGCCTATTGGTATACTATGCAATCCTTATATAAAAGTTTCATATTTTTTCTTATATAATTTATAGAATACATATATACATGCGTATCTATGCATATGTAGGCTATAGCAAAATCTACCTTGCTTTGAAAAACAAATACTGCAGTATTTAGAGAGGTAAAAAAATCGTGTGAATTTATTTTTTCCCTTTGCATAAAAAGGGGGAGAATCACCCGTCTCCTAATTTTAACCAGTATGTGAGGGAGCAGGGCGCAGTGACTGACCAGCTCAGCCGACGACAGGTCCGGGTTTACCAGCTATACAGCCGGACCAGCGGAAAACACGTCCAGATTCAAGGCAAGAAGGTGACCGCTACAGCAGAGGACGGCAATAGTTTTGGTAAAAAAAAAATTCTTTACGTATTAATTGGCAGTAATAAAACACTCGGTAATTCTTCGAGAGTGCAATATGGAGAAAAAATTGTAGATCCTGAATCATATACAAGTTGGTAGGAAGCATCTCGATAATAAATTATTCTGTACTTAGAATGAATCACCATAGAATAAATCAAGATTTGTCATTTGTGTGTATGTTGTTTATGATTGTTCTTATAAATTGCTAATTGTCTGTTGTCAAGTAAACCAAACTTCGGCAATTTATGGGATGCAAAAAAATGGATGTAGTGCAACGAGAAGTCTGACAAGATACTTAATTATGTTAATTAAAAAGTGACGAGAGATGTTTTTACAATTAAATAATTATTTATAAATAAGAATGCTTAATAATGACATGTTTCACAACGAAGACAGAAACGAACCTGTGTTAAATGCTTGTCAGGTCCATCAGAGAAGTAATGCGATGGACTTTTACGCTGTTGCCATGGCCAGCAGATCCATTGGCGTTTGGGTTTTCAGGATCAGTGCCATTTATATAAATTAACTAGGCTGATGCTAAAATAGACATGCAAACTGTAAAAGCCGCATAAAAGCTTCTGAACACACTGGCGCCTCTTCTTTCTTTTAAACTAATGCTGATGTGTTTTAAGTAGGTACGTCCAAGTTATTTGCTTTTGCTGTTTTGCAGCCCGGCTCTTTGTGGAGACGGACACCTTTGGGAGTCGAGTTCGCATCAAAGGCGCCGAGAGTGGACGCTACCTCTGCATGAATCGAAGGGGGAAGCTGGTGGGAAAGGTTGGTCACCTTTTATATTGCCGCAGTTGTCTTCCCTTCTCAGGACAGCATTCAGTGCCATCCTTTTCATCAATGAGAGCCTGCTTTTCTGTGAACAAAATTGTGTGTAGTTGATTTGTGGTCAGTGCTCAAAGTACTAATCTGTTACACTGTTACTTCGTAGTTTGAATTCTTAGTTTAAGTAAAATGTGTACCTAATATAGGGAATGTGACAGGGACGTTTATGAGTGGTGAAGCTATACATTACACAGAATGTGAATTGTACGCTGAACAGGAAATTGCGTGAATCAATGTGTATTGATCCTTGGCACTGAAACTATTTTTGTTAGGATTAATGCTGTCTAGAACAAGTCAGTTTGCTGTATTTAATTAAAGTATGTGCCCTGCTTTGGTTTATGTAATAATAATAATAATAATAATAATAATAATAATAATAATAATAATAAGTCACATTTTTATTCAGATTGAGTTCACAGGAAAAATTGAAGGGGGGACATTTAAGAAAAATTTGGTTGGTTTGACTGATGTTCATCTAATAGCTTCCTGTGTCGCTGATCACCTGCTCAACAACAGGAGGAGATCAGCTCAAACTTATAATGGCTGATCAATTTCTACTGATGTGTTCAGTGTTTTTTTTTTTTAAATTAAACCTGATATAGGATTTTTCATTGTAATTAGTTGCAGCACAGTGGTTTACTGGGTAGCATTGTTGCCTCATATCTCTAGGGCTAAGGTTTGAATCTGTGGGGAAGGGCATGTATATATTTCCCACAAAGGGAAACTGAATATTATCAAAATCTGTGAATGCAATCAAAAAATTAAAAATGCCAACAGTCTTGTGTTTTGTTGGGTTACTGATGGTTAATGTTTGGCCTGGGTAGGGGTTAAGATTGTCATAGTTGGGATTGGGATATGCCCATAGAAATTAATGGAGGCTCCACACAAAGATATTGATACCTAATCTTTATGTGTGTGTGCACTTGTGTGCGTGCACACTCTGTCTTTGTGTGTGAGTGTGTGTGTGCATGCTCTGTCTTTGTGCGTGTGTGTGAGTGTATGTCTGTGTGTGTGTGTGCACGCTCTGTCTTTGTGTGTGTGTGTGTGTGCACATGTGTGCACGCTCTGTCTTTGTGTGTGTGTGTGTGTGCGCGTGTGTGCACGCTCTGTCTTTGTGTGTGTGTGTGTGCGCGTTTGTGCACGCTCTGTCTTTGTGTGTGTGTGTGTGTGTGTGTGTGTGCACGCTCTGTCTGTGTGTGGATTACAGTATGCATGTCCTTCCCATGTCTCATTAGATTCCTCTGGATACTCTGGCTTCCTCCTGCAGTCCGGAGGCACACGGTTAGGCTAACTGGCATAATTATATACAGTACTGTATATAACACCAGTGCCCCTCGTCTGAGGCAAAGTGGAATTGGCTGGCAAGTCAGTGCCCACTCAGAAGTTAGCACGCTAGGCAGTCACATACACTGCCTGTAGTATTGACCAGCCCAGGCTATATAACCATAGTGTGCTTGTGTCTAGCGACTTGCATCCTAGGATGTTCCTCAGCCTCGTGACCTATGCTGCCTGGGATAGACTCCAGGCCTCACTGCAGCCATGTCCAGGATAAGCAGTGGGAAGATAGATGGTTGGGTTCCTACTCTTGTGGGGTTTTTTTTGACCACATCAAATGACAAATGGTTTACTGTTAACCATAAAGGAACAACTACAAATTTAGGAGGTTGTCCAATATCCCCCTAATAAGTTTTGTCTCTAAGAAACATAGATAAAATAAAAGATATTGTTGAAATCTTTTTGAACCTCATTTGAATGTGTGTTGTTATATATTGTGAAAATGGATACCATTTATTCAGACACTGCAACTGTCAATGAACCTCGCAATTTGGAAGATATTTTACCAATTCTAATACAACAGAATAAGACCCAAGAAACAACATTGGTCTGGCAACTGAACATAGTCACCTAAATTTTAATAATTTTTATATGTGGATACTCTGATAGCTATTATTTTTCAGAAAGCATGTTTGAAAGTCCATATTTTGTTGCCGTGGTATCACCTTAAACAATATACTATAGTATGGGTTTAGGAAAACTTTGTAGGGGATGAGTCCATGTCCTACAAGTATAGATAGCAGAGCAATCTGGATTCAGGCACTATTTTGGCCACTATTTGGTGAACTCTGCAATTGATCCTTCCATCCAATCAGCTTTCACACACTTAGTGCAGGGTCACAAGCTTTGAGAAAACAGAACTTCGGTTTATTTTAGGATAATAGCAACTCTTTTGTCTGACATTTCTTTTTTCCTGGCCTTCAGTGTTACTGATTCCACCAATGTAATAACCAATATAACAATGGGCACAGTACCATGTTCTGTGTGTGTGTACTGGTGGTACATCTGAATGAAAACTTTCTCCATCTCTCCTACTAGCCTAACGGGAGGAGTAGAGACTGCATCTTCACTGAGATTGTCCTGGAGAACAACTATACTGCTTTCCAGAACACTAAGTATGAAGGCTGGTTCATGGCCTTTACCAGGAAGGGAAAGCCCATCAAGGCCTCCAGAACCAGGGAGAACCAAAGAGAAGTACATTTTATCAAAAGACTTCACAAGGGTCCACTTCCCTTCCCTAATATGGACCGGCCCAAACATTTTGAGTTCATCAGTTTTCCACCAACTCGCCGAGCCAAACGCAACCGGAAATCAAGGACATCGCCTTAGTGCCAGAAGATCAGTACATCGGTTTGGACTGAGTTTGTATTTTTTTTATAATAAGAGAAAGAAACCATTTTATTTTTGTATTTTTACTACTAAATGCTTGAACAGAACAAATGATGTAACAGATGATAATGTAAAATGATATGATACATGTAAATAAGGTAAGATAGAAAATGAAATGTATATATTTAATATTTCTGAGAGTGTGTTTGTATGTATGCCAGCGCTTTGAAGTACGGTAACTGGAGAATTTAGTCAAATAAACCTTCTGCCTCAATGGAAATCAGTACTTGTTTCCATGACTAACTGTTATGCTCCATAGGACCAGTTGTATAATTTTGAATGTAACCTTCATTTTAAATCATGGTCATTTAATTTTGCAATTTCTGTGCCAGTTTGTGATGCCACTTTTTAAAAGGTGTAAATTTGACTCTATTTTGCCATTCAGGTTGTACTTCAGGTTGAGTTTAAATAAGAGAATGATACCATACTCAGATATCAATGGACAACCTTTTGGAGTTAAGATAATCATTTTCAAAGGTCCCAAAACAATGCACTGTTGCCCTATCAAAAAGAACAAGCTTGCCTCTTGACAATGCATTGGAAAGTAATTTGCATTTTCATTTATCATATATATTTAGCTACTGGTTTCATCATGGATGCACATGAATGTGTTATGATTGTAAAAATAATAACATAAAGAGTTGTAGATCTGTCATCCCTATTAGAATATTAGTGCAGAAATTCTATAACTGTGTCAGATAATCAAAAGTATGAAAGTTTATGTTCCATTCCGTTAATACTGTTTATACTTCTGAATACTGTGAGCACCTATTCATCACTGCAAAACCTAATCAATAAATTGCAATATAAATATAAATGTTTGGGGAGGTTTCTGTAGGTAGAAGCTTGCACAATATGGCTGGGGTCAATGCCTGCATACTGTAAACTAAGAGGGAAAACTAAATATGTTATCAACACATGTCATTCTTCATGTTATTGATTTTGTAATGTGTAAATATGTATAAATATTTAAATTTGGAAATGTACACAAACAAAACATTTTCTGCCGATATCCCCCATCCGTTATAGAACTGCTTATCCTTTGTAGTGTCACTTGAGGGACCTGGATCATGTCACAGACTAGCAGAGTGTCTACTCATATATTCCTCGTATAATTTTGAAATTTAAATTGCATCTCTGTGGTCAGTGTATCCACCAAACCAAAAATGCTTCCACTGCCTCTTAAATCATTTGTTTGCGATTTTTCTATGAATTTGGCTGAATTCAATAGCATAGGAGTGTGATATTGGGAGACAAAAACATATAATTTTAATGTAAATATGTTAAGATCACTTTTTTTGGAGGGAGTGAAGTCAAATTAAAATATTGCTGGCTACACGTTCCCTGCCCCTGGTTCCTACATCCACATCTGAATTAAAAATATTTATTGAAATTCAGGCCAAGATCAACTTCTATATCCTCGTAAAATTTGATTTTTACTCAGATTTAAATTGAAAGAATTCCCTGAACTCACCGGTGTTGCAGGTCACTAGGTTAATGGTAATTCTCAGTTGAGGTGGGAGAATGAAGTAGACATCTGCTGTCCTATTTGAGTAAATCTAGTTACAAGTAAAAGCTACAAGTAAAATGTGTGTTAACTGTTCACGCTACAAAGGCTCGGCTGAAAATGAAAACTCAAAACAAAATGTCAGTTCAGCTTCGGGATTTAGAACATTGGTACCACATTCTGGATTTTCTTGGTTGTATTAGTTGTTGTTTTTTCAAAGAAAACTACCCAAAATAATTTATTAATTCTAAAACCTTCAATGCTATTAAAGTAATAATGTTCTTACATTTCTACATAAATATTATATCTAAAAAATTTTAAACAATATTTAAGTATTTAAGTATAATTCTTTCATATAATTATATTATTCAGTTCACTGGCTGTTTGGAAAACATTGACTTTCATAATATTATATTGCACTAGTTAGGCCAATGTTTTGAAGAAATGTCTGATTGACTTATTTTTCCTACTGTTTTCATTAAACAAGCAAATAAAAATGGTTTCTTTCACTTCAGTTAACATGCTCACAGATTGCCTTTTCATCAACCAATATAATTTTAAGTTATAGAGCGCCACCTAGAGATGTGTTTCTTGCAATGACAACTTGCACAAAACACAAAAAATTTTAATCAATATGAAGGTCAGTCTGTAGGTTTACTCTGGCAATATACGTTTATCCCCGTTCAATTAATCTTCAGGAATGGCATGCAAAATGCACTATAGGATGTCTGGAAATGAGAAGAACAGACATTAGGCTATTGCGGTATTCATCTTCATTGAAGAATTGTCATAATTTTAATCATTTCATTTTGTATACACACACACACGTTTATATTTATTTTTATGTAGCAGACGCTTTTGTATAAAGCGACTTACAAATGAGGCAAATATTGCATATATGAATCTCATGTTACATAAATTGCTTTAAAATACCGTATAATGATATTGGTATATAATAATATGGTACGTTTTGTTGCTAATTGAGATTCTGTGGAATACTTTCATACCAAACACTAAGGACAACACCTACTTCATTAAATATGTTAAATCTGGGAGTTGTGCATATATCGCTTTAATAGAAAGTGAACGCTGTATATCTAGGATGTATGATGCATTATAGCATTTTAATAAACAAAAACACTACATCTCACAAAAATATGGCACTTCTTTTACTGTGCCAAAATTAAAACTATTTTGCCAAAAGTTTCACTATTTGGATTTGTTATTAGGCTACTATACATGCTTCAATGTGAAAATTTCCCATCGTGCATTAACACGTAAAGGTATCAGATTCTCCACAATGAATATTAATAGAAAGCGTCGACTGATTGTTTCCCATGACACTTGACACGTGACCCCGGAAATGCAATATTGACTTTAGTTTAAAAAAATCCGGTCATAAGGATCACACGTCCAGTGAATACTACGACCATTCTAGTTCTTTATCTCAAAGAAACAGTGGTGAGAAATGAATTAAGAAATTATCTGGGTAGCTGTAACTACTCACAAACGGACTATCCTGTTTCTAATTGGCATTTAATCTATTTTAACAATATTGGTTATATATACATTGTTAGCCATTGTTTAAAATTACAAGCCAACTCTTAATTATGATGTCATGATTAACTATGCTACTTTTTAAAAATACGTGAATTGATATGAGTTCTTAAGCTTCAGAAACTGTTGTCCCGGCAACCGACATTGGGATGAATTGGAGTGATTCGCGTTCAGGATAAAACGCATTTTACTTTAGAGATGTAACAGTAACGTTTTGAAAGAATCACGAGTCGGTGAATTTTGAAAACAAGGACATCCAGTCTTTAGAAAACGTCTATAGACACGCTCATCGACCTATCATGTATATGCACCTATATTTGAAACTGGAAATAGCCTGCAAATCCGTTTGGAATGTGGAGTTGGAGAATGGATCGATGGAAGCAGTAGCGGTCGAAACCCATGTGGCGCCCTAGGCAAGCTTCACGGCCGCCCCCAGGCTGTCGGCAAAAAATAAGTGTGAGCGCTTTATGGGGCTTGGGGGGTAAAAGTTAACGACCGGGCGGGATTGGCGGTTTGCTAAGTCGGCGCCCCCTCAGAAAGATGCCGCCCTGGCCAAAAGCATATATATTGCTCTTGCCATGCAGGATCCTCCAATATATGGATGGAGGCAAAAAGGAATATACACTGGCCAGTTATGTAAATTAAAGCTATAACTAATACCCACATAGACTTACGTGTATGGTTTGGTATTATTATATAAGTGAGGGCAATTCCATTTAAGCAATGCAAGCAGCCTGGCAGGCTGTGTGGTGTGTATTTTGGAGTACCCCCGTTACACAGAATGGACCGAGCCATCTGTGCAAGGGACAGCAACAGTAAGAAAGGCACATTGGCGCTATCTAAATGGCGCAGCCCTGCTCCGTCTGCGCAGCGCTCCGAAGATACAGCGATAAATGTCTGCAGTCCGAAACGTCAAATACTCACGCTGCAGCTCTGTTCGGATGTGTCCTCTGTACAATTCGCAATTAAAAGTCCAAAGAATTTTAAAAAAGCAAAAAATAAAGGGATTAACTGGCTGTCTCGTGGGCGACGACGGAGAAGAGGGATTTATTTAGAAGAGGACAACAATTTCAGGTGATTCAAGATTTTCTTTCTCCTAACATAGCTGACACAAATGAACACAAACTCCCAAGCACCCATGTGTTTTGCAAAGGAAACCCCCGTGCACTCTGCATTTTTGTATTAATCGCCGATGCATTTGTCCATTAAAACCAACTTGCATACAACCGCTGAATCTGTGGACACTGCATCGTAAAAAGTGGGTGGTTTAGGATGGGGGGATGGACACTGATCGGAATGACTAGCCGCTTAAATATGGCAAAAAATGGAGAAAATAAATCAGCGGAAAGCTGCGGCGTCGGATTATCTGAGGGCGGCGTGATCTTTTACATAACCGCTGGCCATGGTGACAGGGAGCCGGTCCCATGCTTGCAGGATCACTGTAGTGAAATGGATGCGGAGACGCTCAAGGGTAACTGAACAACTCCCGCAATGGTCAGAACTGTGTGCAGGTTTATATTAAACCACGGGCTGATTATTTAAGTGTCAGTGTTGAATTTTAACACAGATATACCTGGTAGTTGTAAATAAATATGAAACGGAATGCAGGTGGTTATAGTGAGTGTCCATACGTAATTACACACGTAACTACAGAATTTCATGTATTAAAATGCAAAATTAGTGTCCTCGTATGTTTTCGTATAGCAGAATAGCAGTTTTTTGCTGTCTCTATCTAAATTTGACTTAGTTTAAGCTTAAATGACACAATATAAGATCTCAATCGCACAAAATAACCTGCTGTGGAGTTGTGTTTGCTTGTGTATGAATCAGTTATTGAACTTGGGTTTATATAACAGTGGTTTTTATAACATACTGCAATATTTGGAAGTTCCTCATAGTCTTGATGTGGGTGGTGTATGCTTAGAAACTAAAGCTCTGCGTGGGATGGAAACATTTTTAAACAGTAGTTTTAACATTAAGGCACCGTTATAAAACCCTCTCATTATCTGGAGGGGAATCTGTCTTCTTTATATGTAGCCTATGCTATTGTCCAAAACCGAGTATTACTTTCATGATAGACTGGATGCCTGTTTGGGTTCACACTTGAATGTGAGTGTTGAGCATCTTTTATTGTGGATCCTCCACAAGGTATCATACAGGTCAATACCGTAGAGCCCTGAAATCCTACATTATGCATTTTGTACTAGGGAACATAAAGACTGATTAATCCCAGTTGGCAGTCATGTTGAAATCAATAAAAACCCAGCTTCCCTACTTGTTAATTACACAATCACTGACTGTATATTTTTCATTTGATTTATGATTTTGTTTACACAGTGTAACTACACTGTGCTGAAACAAATAGTGACATTAGACATTATTATGTGTTAAAGCTGTTTGTGGAAAAAATAGTTCTCTTACATTGTTGGAAAAAATGGCAAAAAATCCTACTGCCGTCTTCTGTTTCCTGCGATGGATAATTTCCTGCTGGTGTCATGCTTTTAGGTTTAAAATGTCAAACAGACTATCCCATGTAACCTGAGAAAACGAAAACGATGGAGCACAACAGGGGCCTATATCTGCTTCCCATTTGCGGAGACAGCAATGCTGATGTTCCCGACTGTTTCCGAAATGTGTGATGTGGGCTTTAGGCATGACGGTGCACCACAGAAATGTCATGCTAGCAAATTAGCACCATTCCAGTCTGTCACAATTGCATTCT